AGGTCTTGTTGGAATTCCCTACACCTCTGCTGTAGCAGACGGACAGAAAATATGGCATCTGTGCAGGACCGCCCTTTCCTGAAACCGCATTGGGGCTCCGCAAGCCTCTCCTCAGCGTGCCTGGCAAGGCGATGCTGAATAATCCTTGCCAGGACCTTTCCCGGCACACTGAGGAGTGAGATGCCCCTGTAGTTGTTACAGTCTGTGCGGTCCCCCTTCTTAAAAAGGGGGACCACCAGGGCATCCTTCCAATCCTGCGGAACCCGTCCAGTGGTCCAGACTGTTGTTATGATGTCATATAGGGCAGTCTGTGCACAAACGCCACCCTCCCTCAGCATTTCGCTTGGGAGATCATCTCTGCCCGCTGCCTTTCCTGGTCTCAGACTCCGGATCGCCTTCAATACTTCCTCAGCAGATGGCACCTCAGCCAGCCACTCACAGGGGGTGACTTCATCCAATATTTGAGGCACCGCAGCCTCAGCAGGGTCATCCTCACTTTGTGCCACGATGTTTTCCTGGCTGTGGGATTTTCCCTCCCCAGGACCTCACAGAAATGCTCAGCAAATCTGCGAACCTGTTCCTGGGGGTCGGAAATTGGATCACCGTTTTTTCCCCTAATGATGGTAATAGGTGTGGCGCTGCAGGTTACTTTTTTGATGGAGTTAAATAGAGATTTGTGATCACGGGCCACTGAGGCAGACTCCATCTCCTCAGCAACCCGCGACCACCACCCATCCTTGCAGCGCCTCACGGCTCTCCGAACCTCCGAGCGAAGGCTGCGGTAAGCCTCCTCATTCTCTGACGTGGGATTCTGTAGCCGATGACAGTGGGCCTGTCGCTTTTTCTCAACCATCCTGAACAACTCCTCTGTCATCCAGGGTGTCTGGGGAGGTCTGGACCGCGTACCCAAAGCAGCCATTGCAGCTGCATGAGTCACAGTCCTAAACCTCGCCCATTTACCCTCGACATCAGGAGGTCGGGGACGATGCCAATCCCAGCCGCAAGCGATGATGAAATTCTCGCTTGCAACTTTCATCAGATAACTGAGACCAGGCCACTTTAGGTTGGAATGGGGTCCTGGGTGTACACCCACCACCGGAGTGGAAGAATGGCAGGCGCATCTTACAGATGACTAGTCGATGGTCAGAGGGCAGATCAGCTCCACGGTAGGTCCTGGTGTCAAGGACATGGGCTCGCATTCGCTGGTCCGTCACTATGTAGTCAGCAGATGTTCTTGCTTGGACCCGGCATGCATCCATGATGTTGTGTGGATGCGCCGATGCCGGAACAGCGTGTTGGTAATTACAAGCCCATGGGCTGCACAAAAATCTAGCAGCCTCCTACCGTTGTTATTGAGCTGATCTGGCCCATGCCCTCCAATCACTCCAGACCAGGTGCCAGTATCATGACCAACTCGGGCATTGAAGTCACCCAACATGATGACTCTATCCCGAGGGGCCACTTTAGCCAGCACCTGTGACAGGAGGTCATAGAAGGCATCTGACTCATCGGCTTTGCCTGCATCCCTCCACGGATGTTCATCTTCGGTGGGGGCATAAGTAACCACGACCACCATTCCTCGCCTCCGGTTGATGGGAAGGCGAGCCCAAAGTAGCCTGGGGCTTACAGCTTCCCACACCTCACCGCCACGCTCCCACGCCCCCTTCATTCTTTTATTCAAAAGAAGACCCACACCCTGTTGTTTGGCAGTCTGCTGCCCCGAGTAGAGGACTGTCCACCCCTCATGGTGGCAGGAGCCAGAGCCGGTCCACCGGACCTCCTGAATGCCGCATAGATCCAGGCGGTACCGGTCCAGCTCCCGACAGAGGAGTGGCAGCCTCTCCTCTGCAGTGAGCGTTCGAACATTCCACGTGGCCACCCGTAGTGGCTTTTCGTTGTTTCTGGAGTAGCCCCGAGGGTAGGTATTCAATCTCCTGGCTCCGCCAATTGGGGTTTGGCCAGGAGACGTCATAGACGCCTGGCCCCCCGGGGCCTCCGGCACAAGCTTAGTTGTTACATATTTCACTTTAATTCGTGGTTTTGTGGTAATTAATTGAAGGTGGAGGGGTTACCAGCCCCTCGCACCGTCCAGAGCCCCCGTTTAGCCCCTGTGGTGGACACATATGCCATGAGGGGAGGAGCCAATCAAAATTGGAACTCCCCCACAGCACTGTCCACGACAGAGTTGCCCGTCCGGCACCGCGAGGAGGTAGGGGGTTGTTTTGCCGGACCACACACATACACACACACATACACACACATACACACAGACACACATACAACAACAACAACCGCCATTCGCCACTAAGTGGCGGTGACGTCACCACGACGCTTGTGCCAGGCTATGTGCACCCTGAGGCCACGTGAAGTGTCGAACGCCCGCTGGCAGGAGGTCACGGGGCAGACCCAGGTGCCACGGGTCGACTGACTGAGATGACTGAGATGGCTGGCTGATGAGCGTGAAGTCGCGATTGAGTAATGGGGGCTAACGAATGAGTAATTAGTAATACACGTTGCTTTAAGAGATGGTTGAAGTTACAATGTTCTAATACGTGTTTAATGTAAATTACTTTTTGAATGTCATTAATTTTGTTGTATTATTTAATGACTAATTAAAATAGCTCAGAGGTTACTTCATTTCCACTCGTCCTATCAATTCCCCCAGACCCGCTGCCCTTCTAAGGGCCGGGACCGAGCGGGCCAGTGGTGAGACCCTGGGAGCCCCCGGGTCCCGACGTCCTTGTAAGGGCCGGGACCAAGCGAGACAGTGGTCGAGACCCGTACCTTGGCTGGGTCGGGTTAGTGTAGCCTCCCCTAGGTCACGGTTAGCCGGAGGCGAGAGAGCCCGTGGTCCCAGTGATAGGCCACGCTTGTCCGGGGGCCGTACCACCCCCAGGTAGCGGGTTAAGGGGCCGTTACCCCTTTGTGTTAGGGACCGTTACTATTGCTGTTAACGTTGTCGTTAAATAGACGTGTTGCCTCTACACGCCGTCTCCAATCTCCTTGCACCCACTACACACGCAGCGTTTGTTTCACGTCTCGTGCGGTCACTGTGGTAAGAAAGTTGCTTGGTTTTGATTCCCAGACAATTCGTAATGGTAAAGAAATTTAATAATAATAGAATACGACGTTTCGATTGCAACACAAACGACCATCATCAGGTACAAATGAATGAGAACAAACATAGTAAACTTGGAATATAATGCAATATAACAGAGTCGGCCAACAAAACAATCAACGCCCCACCTGGTTGATTACGTTCTTCCAAAGATTGATAAATTTGAGAGAGACAAAACATAGACACGGGGACACACAAGCAGAGAGAGACAACACAGAAACACACAGAGAGAGACACACAACATAGACACACAGACAGACACACAAGCAGAGAGAGACAACACAGAAACACACAACATAGACACACAGACAGACACACAAGCAGAGAGACTCACATAGACACACAGAGAGAGACACACAACATAGACACACAGACAGACACACAAGCAGAGAGAGAGACTCACACAGAGACAAACAGAGAGAGACACACACAACATAGACACACAGACAGACACACAAGCAGAGAGAGACTCACAAAGAGACACACAGGGAGTGACACAACATAGACAGACAGACACACAGAGAGAGACTCACACAGAGACAAACAGAGAGAGACACACAACATAGACACAGAGACAGACACACAAGCAGAGAGAGACTCACACAGAGACACACAACATATACACACAGACAGACACACAGGCAGAGAGAGACAACACAGAGACAAACAGAGAGAGACACACAGAAACACACAGAGAGACACACACAGAGACACACAGACAGACACACAAGCAGAGAGAGACTCACACAGAGACACAGAGAGTGACACACAACATAGACACAGAGACAGACACACAAGCAGAGAGAGAGACTCACACAGAGACAAACAGAGAGTGGCACACAACATAGACAGACAGACACACACAGAGAGAGAGACTCACACAGAGACAGAGAGAGACAATTTAATAGCTCTTAAAACCCCCCCCCTCCTGCAGTCTAAACACAACAAGACTCCCAAGTCCTCTGGTGACATCAAAAATGATTTAATAACGAGACGATCAAACGAGCCATAGAGCGAAGCCTCGGCCCTACGCATTGGGCCTTGCGTGGCCCATTAATGGGCACTTGACTCGAATGTGCGGACGTTTCACTGACTGAACGCAACATTGAAAGCAGCCTTGAGAATCTTCACTTGAAGCTTTCGTGGCAACTGCAGGGATCCACGCTCTCAAAGTCATCACGTGGTAGGTGTATAAAATACATCACCACGTTTCCATCGCGACACAAGCGACCGTCATCAGGCGGAACAAGTACAGTTCAACTGATGGGGGGGTCGCTTGTGTTGCGACAGAAACGTCGTGATTTATTTTATTTTGTCCCCACGTCGCTCGACCGAAAGAACCTTGAAGAATGTTCTTGGTTCTTTCGGTAAAGTCACCACGTAGAAGGGAAACAATAAAATAATAAAAATATAAAACAATAAAAATTCTCACGACGTTTCGACTGCGACACAAGAAGCAATCATCATCGGGTGTGAAAACCACAGCAAGAAAATTTGAAAAAAGGGGCGTTTTTTTAACGTTAGCACCACGGAAAGATTACAGAACAGTCTTAAAACTTAACTTCCTTCACTTTCCAAGTCTGACATCGTACGCCTTCAAAACCACCACACTGATAATTATTAATGAACCCTTTCACATTCCGGAAACCCCCCAAAAAAAAGGCTGCTCTATGGGTGGAGGCCGGTGACCAAGTGAAATTGCCCTCGCCGTGCCTCCCTGCGCGAAAAAACGAACGCCGAACGCTCGCCAGCGACCGGCTTATGCCTCGGCACGGGAGAGGGGAGGGGTTAATCAACGAACTCGCCCCACCGGTCGAAGCCACGGGCGGTCGGGATCCCCGGCGGTCGTTTCTCTCTCCTCCTCCTTCGCCCGGCCGTACGCCTAAACCACGAAGGCCCGGAGCGACGTCTTCACGGCGACGCGGCACACGGGACACTGGATCAGGGAGAGGGCGCAGTGGCCGCACGTCGCCACGTGTCCGCACGGCACGAACATTGTGGACACCTCGCGCTCCATGCACACCTTGCAGGACAGCCGCTCTTCCAGCTTGTCCAGAAGCTCCTCAGTCGATGGCACCGCTGTGGACAAAAGCGCGCGCAGACGCACGCGGAGACGCACGCGGAGACACACGCGGAGACACACAGAGACACACAGACACACGTGCAGACACACAGAGACACACAGACACACAGAGACACACAGAGACGCACGCGGAGACACACAGACATACAGACACACGTGCAGACACACAGAGACACACAGAGACACACAGAGACGCACGAAGACACACGCGCGCACGCACAGACGCAAGCGCACACACAGATGCACACACAGGCACACCTGCACACACTTTCAGCGGTTTCAAATAGTGATGGTCGATCATCACCAGACTGCTTACATATGGGGCGCAAAGTTGGCGAGATGTTGACCACCTCGTCTGGTATACATGAGGTCGTGACTCTCACCTGTATCAGACTCTCACCTGGCTCAGACTCTCACCTGTATCAGTCTCTCACCTGTATCAGTCTCTCACCTGTATCAGACCCTCACCTGTATCAGACCCTCACCTGTATCAGACTCTCACCTGTATCAGACCCTCACCTGTATCAGACTCTCACCTGTATCAGACCCTCACCTGTATCAGACCCTCACCTGTATCAGTCTCTCACCTGTATCAGACTCTCACCTGTATCAGACCCTCACCTGTATCAGTCTCTCACCTGTATCAGTCTCTCACCTGTATCAGACCCTCACCTGTATCAGTCTCTCACCTGTATCAGACCCTCACCTGTATCAGACCCTCACCTGTATCACCCTCACCTGTATCAGACCCTCACCTGTATCAGACCCTCACCTGTATCAGACTCTCACCTGTATCAGACCCTCACCTATATCAGACCCTCACCTCTATCAGACCCTCACCTGTATCAGGTGAGGGTCTGATACAGTGCGCAGGGATCCGTCGTCTTACCGTGCTCAATCTCCGCGGTTGTACTCTGCGGCGTCTGTCCCGGTAGCGGAGCCTTTGAACCGACAAATAAAGATGAACATCGTCGCGTGTAAGAATCATCGCCGGTGTCACGCAGAAGAACCGACAAAAATGGATAAGTTACGCAAGCGACGACCGCTCGCGTTGAAAACGATCGCGACTTTTTGCACCGTTACTCTGCGCTCGATTTGCAATCGGCGTGTCGGCAAACCAAACGGAACGACAAGAGCCGGCTCTCGATTGTCGCCGCTAACGACAGGGGGCAGGGCAGCTGCAGACGGCTCAAAATCGCGCAGTATCCAAAAAGATAAAATAAAAAAAATTGCCGTGGATCTCTACGCCAAAAACACCGATTATCCCCATAGTTATGTATATATAGTTATAGAGTACATTTAATCTGGCCGTCGCCTGATGAAGCTCGTTGTTGTAATTACTGGTGAAACGTCGTACTCAGATTCTAAATGTTGTGGCTTGGCTCTCCAACACACCGGTGTGAGCTGTACTAGTATTATACACTATACACTACTATACACTATTATACACTATACACTACTATACTACTACACTACTATACACTATTATACACTACTATACACTATTATACACTACTATACACTACTATACTATACACTACTATACACTACTACACTACTATACACTACTACACTATACACTACTATACACTATACACTACTATACTATACACTACTATACACTACTACACTACTATACACTATACACTACTATACAATACTATACTATACACTACTATACTATACACTACACTACTATACACTACTACACTATTATACACTATACACTACTATACACTACTATACATACACTACTATACACTACACTACTATACACTACACTATACACTACTATACTATACACTACTACACTATATACTACTATACTATACACTACACTACTATACACTACTATATTATACACTATACTATACACTACTATACTATACACTACACTACTATACACTACTACACTATACACTACTACACTATACACTACTACACTATACACTACTATACTATACACTACTATACTATACACTACTATACACTACACTACTATACACTACTACACTATACACTACTACACTATACATTACTATACTATACACTACACTATACACTACACTACTATACACTACACTATACACTACACTATACACTACTATACACTACACTATACACTACACTATACACTACACTATACACTACACTACTATACACTACACTATACACTACACTACACTATACACTACACTATACACTACTATACTATACACACTACTATATTTACAATAAGCATATTGGTAATAAAACCACATTATTTTTGTATTTTTACCCCTGAATGATGAACATTTCAAGCTGCCTGCGAAGTTTAAGTTTGAGTCTATTTGTGTTCAAGACCGCAGATAAACTCCATCAAGAGACGAGGCTGGTCTCGTCTGTTCAACGACCGGAGTTGACTAAGGTCAATGTTAAAAAACTAAACAAAAAATCGTACGTGCGGCGTGTTCACACGCCGGCGTTAAACTCGATTTTCCTGCGAAACCAAAAGTTGGCGAGAAAATGTTTTGTTACCGGCGGCCGCATCGACCCGCGGACGAAAGCTTCCCCCTTCTGTCGTCCAACAAACGCGCAGCTGTTCAAACGACGCGGGAAGAGAGGGGGGGGGGGGGGGTCATTACGTTATGCCGGCTGGGTACAATGTGGTGGATGTATTGGGGAGCACGTCACCATTATTATTATTTATATTATGATCTTATAGTGAGATGGTTGTATTGGGGAACACATTATATTTATTATTTTATCGCGTTTATTATGATTTTGTTATTATCTTATAATGCGTTGGATGTATCGGGGAACACATCATTATTATATAATGCGATGGATGTGTTGGGGAACACATAATTATTTAATATTTACAGTGAGGGAAAAAAGTATTTGATCCCCTGCTGATTTTGTACGTTTGCCCACTGACAAGGAAATGATCAGTCTAAAATTTTAATGGTAGGTTTATTTGAACAGTGAGAGACAGAATAACAACAACAAAATCCAGAAAAAACGCATGTCAAAAATGTTATAAATTTATTTGCATTTTAATGAGGGAAATAATTATTTGACCCCTCTGCAAAACATGACTTAGTACTTGGTGGCAAAATCCTTGTTGGCAATCACAGAGGTCAGGACGTTTCTTGTAGTTGGCCACCAGGTTTGCACACATCTCAGGAGGGATTTTGTCCCACTCCTCTTTGCAGATCTTCTCCAAGTCATGAAGGTTTCGAGGCTGACGTTTGGCAACTCAAACCTTCAGCTCCCTCCACAGATTTTTCTATGGGATTAAGGTCTGGAGACTGGCTAGGCCACTCCAGAACCTTTGATGTGCTTCTTCTTGAGCCACTCCTTTGTTGCCTTGGCCATGTGTTTTGGGTCCTTGTCATGCTGGAATACCCATCCACGACCCATTTTCAATGCCCTGGCTGAGGGAAGGTTCTCACCCAAGATTTGACGGTACATGGCGCCGTCCATCGTCCCTTTGATGCAGTGAAGTTGTTCTGTCCCCTTAGCAGAAAAACACCCCCAAAGCATGTTTCCACCTCCATGTTTGACGGTGGGGATGGTGTTCTTGGGGTCATAGGCAGCATTCTTCCTCCTCCAAACACGGCGAGTTGAGTTGATGCCAAAGAGCTCTATTTTGGTCTCATCTGACCACAACACTTTCACCCAGTTGTCCTCTGAATCATTCAGATGTTCATTGGCAAACTTCAGACGGGCATGTATATGTGCTTTCTTGAGCAGGGGGACCTTGCGGGCGCTGCAGGATTTCAGTCCTTTACGGCGTAGTGTGTTACCAATTGATCTCTTGGTGACTATGGTCCCAGCTGCCTTGAGATCATTGACAAGATCCTCCTGTGTAGTTCTGGGCTGATTCCTCACCGTTCTCATGATCATTGCAACTCCACGAGGTGAGATCTTGCATGGAGCCCCATGCCGAGGGAGATTGACAGTTTTTTTGTGTTTCTTCCATTTGCGAATAATCGCACCAACTGTTGTCACCTTCTGACCAAGCTGCTTGGCAATGGTCTTGTAGCCATTACAGCCTTGTGTAGGTCTACAATCTTGTCCCTGACATCCTTGGAGAGCTCTTTGGTCTTGGCCATGGTGGAGAGTTTGGAATTTGATTGATTGCTTCTGTGCACAGGTGTCTTTTATAGGTAACAAGCTGAGATTAGGAGCACACTCTTAAAGAGTGTGCTCCTAATCTCAGCTCCTAATCTCAGCTTGTTACCTGTATAAAAGACACCTGGGAGCCAAAAATCTTTCTGATTGAGAGGGAGTCAAATACTTTTTTTCCCTCATTAAAATGCAAATCAATTTATAACATTTTTTACATGCATTTTTCTGGATTTTGTTGTTGTTATTCTGTCTCTCGCTGTTCCAATAAACCTACCATTAAAATTATAGACTGATCATTTCTTTGTCAGTGGGCAAACGTACAAAATCAGCAGGGGATCAAATACTTTTTTCCCTTACTGTATATATATAAATTTCACGGGCGCAGCAGGTGCCAAACGCCTCACCTGGGAAACCACTTTGCGTGCTCATGCCAAGCGCTGTCTCCCAGCGCCCACTCTTGTAGATGACCGTCGCAGCTGAAGCACTTCACAAGATCTCCGTGACCTACTCAAAATAGAAAACACGTTACAGGGACCTCTCCCCTACTTATCGACACTGTCGACTTTTCAGAGATAAACAAACCCATCCAGTTGCCCGTTCGGACCGAGAGTCCTAAGTTCAACCGCCTCACAATAGTTGGAGGTGGTGGCATCAACATCTGCAGAACGTGAAAAACCAGTGGCATTTACATCTACAGAACGTGAAGAACCAGTGGCATTTACAGCTACAGAACGTGAAGAACCCAGTGGCATCAACATCTGCAGAACGTGAAGAACCAGCGTCATCTACATCTACAGAACGTGAAGAACCAGTTGCATCTACACCTACAGAATACGAAAAACCAGTGGCATCTACATCTACAGAACGTGAAGAACCAGCGTCATCTACATCTACAGAACGTGACGAACCAGTGGCATCTAAATCTGCAGAACATGACGAACCAGTGGCATCTACATCTACAAAACATGACGAACCAGTGGCATCTACAGAACGTGAAGAACCAGTGGCATCTACATCTACAGAACGTGAAGAACCAGTGACATCTACATCTACAGAACGTGAAGAACCAGTGGCATCTACATCTACAGAACGTGAAGAACCAGTGGCATCTACATCTACAGAACGTGACGAACCAGTGGCATCTAAATCTGCAGGAGATTATACAACTTGTAAAGGCATTCCCCGTGTTTCGTGTACACACTCTACAACATGTTTGGAACCGACAGGACTTCGCACTCCTATCGTGTTTTTGTAAACCGTTCGTTGCCGTGACGTTCTTACCCCCCGTGCCCCGACTGGACATCATGCGAAAAAGAGCTTCACAGCTCAATGGATTCCTCCAGTATAGCTAAATATTCTGATTCTGACCTCCCTCAGGTGTTTGACCAAAACTATTAACCAACATTGATACTATTTTATGATACCAGGTGTTAGGACCATTGAGTTGCTATTTAGCTCTTTTTCAGAGGTGACCACCTGGCTATCACAAACGATAGCTCAACGAAGTGGCTTATCGCGTGAGAATTTAAATGCAGCCAAATACTCTAAATGCGTGTTGCTAAATGTGCGAGGAAAAAACCGGAGGACCGGCAGAAAAAATCCACGCGACCACGGCGAGGGAGGCACGAAAATTCCAAATACACATCAGGCGTCAGGATGGAACCCACCACCTCCTGCCTTCCGGGCGAGGTAGTCAACATCTCCGAGCCACCGTGGCGCTTGCCCCCAAAGAGCCGCCCCTCCCCCCACAAAACGGGGACAACTACAGCGCCGGGGAAGGCCTCCACCCACTTCTACGCAGCAGCAGCAGCAGCAGCAGCACAAACCGTACCGGAATAGTAGAAGCCTGCGTAGGCCAGTTCAGGCGGGGACACATTGGCGGTGTACGGCCAGCTCGCGAAAGATCTGAGTCGCGCCCCGAACGAACGCATCTCTGGACTCAGTCCGGAGTCGGCGCCATCCTGAGTGGCCGGCGGCAACGGGGCCTGCGGGGAAAAGGCGCCACCCAGGGACAAACGCAACGACGACAACGGTGACGACGATGACGACTGCGACGGCAGCGTCGACGGCGACGACGGTGACGCAGTGAGCTCATCGAATTGTCCCCGCCCTTTGGAAAGGCTCCCCAGGAAGCCGTGAGGGCATTGGAATCGTTTTTTTTTAAACGACATCTTCGAAACAAAACCTTTTTAGACTGGCCTAAAAAGGTTAAGTCATTTACATGACTTAATACGATTACATCTCCATAACTAGCATAACTTGTGCGCGTAATTACATCAATTAACATTATTTCGGATAATTACGCATTTTTCCAAATTTCATTTCATTTTTATAATTTTTATTAAAATTTTCAAGACCCGGCATATACAACAGGTGGGGGAATTTATAGAGAAGATAACATTACAGTAGAATCTTGATTTGAATTACAGTACACTCTGGATGATCCGCGCGCGGTTTGTTCGATTTGCAGATGAACCGCACACCTGAGATTTTGATGGAGATTAAGAACTCGTGGATATTCCCCTGAAGTCCAAATAATCTAAAAACAGTTTATACAACAATGGTTAATTCTTGGACATTTTTATTACAAGTCACGCGGCGCTTTAACCGAACAAATACGTTGCCCCGGTTAATCCGAAATCCACGTGACCGCCTCTACGGCACGGCAGCTGCAACGTCTTTACAACGGTGGGCAGAGTTTAATTGATTTTGTTGCCGTGGCTCTGCTGTCAAATCAGCGAGCCGACTCTTCAGCGCGGGGAGCGGGAAAGTCTCATCATTGAAAATGGTTATAGGCACAAAGCATTGAAGAATTGAGACTCATCTACAAGGGCGCAGCGGTAGCCAGGAGATGTGAACGACCTCGCCTGGTATGCAGGAGGTCATGGGCTCGAAACCCGACCCTGACACCTGCTTCTGCCTATGTGGAGTTTCCGTGTCTCTCTCTCTCTCTCTCTGTTCCCCCCGTGGTCACCACGTGCGAGGGTATTCGGCAAATATAAATGTCCACGCGACGATGCTGAGCCCGCTTCGCTGAGCAACGTCGCTGCTTTGCGTGACGGAGAGGGTCGGCATCTGAAACAAATAGCTACGTCATCGCAGCGCTGAGTAGGGCCCTCGCCAGGTCAAGAATAACTGTGTTAGCACAGGGTGCATACAAAGAAATGTTCACACTTATTTTTGGACTATCGTTTTTTAATATAACACGAATCTGACCGCGAATGCGCGTCAATGGATTCAACGAGCCAAAGGGTCTCCGCTCGTTCGCCATCGTCGTCTAAACACGCCTAGAATTATCTCCAATCGGTACCCAGAGCCCCGAGGCACATCTCTTCGTGCCAATCGTTGCAAATTCTCAGCGGCACCCCGCACTAGTTTTAGGAAAGACCCGGCCTCGCCCCCCCAAAACAAGCGTCAGGACGTCACCGGCGCCGTCGCTGGCGTCACCCACCGCGCGAGCGCAGGCGGGGAAGTGCCTGGCGTGCTCCCGAGCGGGGTCGTCCCCCTCCTCCCAGCGATGCATCGTCCCGCCGCAGCGGAAGCAGGCCACCAGGTCGCTGAAGCCCATGTGGTAGAGTCCGGCCCGCGCCAAGTCCGCGGGCCGCACGGGGGACGACCGGGGCCACCCCTTGGAGAACGACAGCAGCCTGGCCGATTCGCTCTGCATCTTCGAGGCCGACAGTCGCGGGATCCGGTCGAAGCGGGGCATCGGGGGGGCGGAGTGTCTCGCCGCCGACGACGCCCTGCGGGAGGCCCGAAAGTCTACGACGTTCGGCATCGACCCGGCGGAAAAATACGGGGCGATTTGGGGTGAAAAGAATGCTTTTGCGAGGGACGAGTCCGCCCGGGGGTCTCTTGTTAAAGATCGCTCGAGAAACGTCGAGGCCTTCTCCTCCTTTCAAGGCGTCGAAGAGATCCCGGGGCTCGTAGCTCGTAGCTCGACGGGTAGTTTAAAAACCGGCGATGGGAAATGGCACGACCCCTGTTGTCACCCTCGACGGCTCCTGAATGCGGGAGCAAAAATGTTGGGGCGGCAAGCGTCATTAAAAACGGACATCTTTTAGTGATATTCTTAGCTCTTTCGGTAAAGTCACGTTGAAGGCAAACAATAAAATAATAAAATACATATAAAACAATAAAAATTCTCACGACGTTTCGACCATAACACAAACGGTCGTTATGTTATGGTCGAAACGTCGTGATAATTTTTATTGTTTTGTATATATTTTATTATTTTATTGTTTCCCTTCAACGTGACTTTGCCGAAAGAGCTAAGAATATGAATTACTGCAGTCACGAAAGCTTTAAATCAAAATAAAATATTTAAGTGACTTGAAATGTTTGGTTTAAACAATTCATCCATACACAAAGGCTTTTTGTGGGTTAGATCGCGTAAATATATTAATGTTAAACCCGCCACCACCCGACACGGCCAACTGGTAAGGGTTGTCACGTAAACAGAACAATCTCTATTATGGATGATATTGGTCGCCAAAGCCTACGTGTTAAGAATTAAACAGTTCAGTCTGTCACTTCTGACAAACTCATGCACAGCAATAAAAGGGGGCACACACAGTCTGGATGGTCCTGTACCAAACGGAGTTTCGAGAGTTATCTGGTGTGAGAAAAACCAACACTACCCATAGACTCAGCACTGCACCATAGACTCAACACTACCCAAAGACTCAACACTAACCATAGACTCAACACTGCCCATAGACTCAACACTACCCATTGACTCAACACTACACCATAGACTCAGCACTGCACCATAGACTCAACACTGCACTATAGACTCAACACTGCACCATAGACTCAACACTACCCAAAGACTCAACACTACACCATAGACTCAACACTACCCATAGACTCAACATTGTACCATGGACTCAGCACTGCACCATAGACTCAACACTGCCCGATAGACTCAACACTACCAAAGACTCAACACTGCCCATAGACTCAACACTGCCCATAGACTCAACACTGCACCATAGACTCAACACTGCCCATAGACTCAGCACTGCACCACCATAGATTCAACACTGCATCATAGACTCAGCACTGTACCATAGACTCAACACTGCACCATAGACTCAACACTGCCCATAGACTCAACACTGCACCATAGACTCAACACTGCACCATAGACTCAACACTGCACCATAGACTCAACACTGCCCAGAAACTCAACACTACACCATAGACTAACACTGCACCATAGACTCAACACTACACCATAGACTCAACACTACACGATAGATTTCGATTTAAAGCTGTCGTGACTGCAGGGATTAATCTTCTTGGTTCTTTCGGTAAAGTCATGTCGGTTCTTAACTAATTGTATTTTTACGGTGACCTCAGACCGCAAGCTCTTTCGCTGGCACTGCCTCTTAACACCTCTCACAGCACGGTTAACGTTGTGGTTTGTAACGTGGAGTATAACAGCGCCTCGTGGCTGTTTCTCTCCCCCACTCCTCCGTCCCGAGGAGCGTGGATGGACGCGTCCCTGTGAACGGGGCCCGTCGCTGTCCATGGTGCTGGAGGTGAGGGGAAGGATCCCACAAACTCTGTGGTTCTATTCGGTAAAGTCACCACGTAGGTTAATTAAAATATAAAATAACAAAAATCACGACGTTTCGGCCACAGCACAGGCGGCCTTCATCAGGTGAAGAGACCGTGCCGTCATGATGAAGGCCGCTTGCGTTGTGGCCAAAACGTCGTGATTTTTGTTATTTTATTTTTGTTACCTACGTGACTTTACCGAATAGAACCAAAGAGTATGGATCCTTGCAGTCACGAATAGAAGAATCCACACATTGTTTTGCCATATGGCATGTGATATATACCGACTTATTGTTGGTGGCTCAGCTGGTTGGAGAGTTTTATTGATAACATTGAGGTATAGTAATAGATTTTACCCTTTTATCTGGCACAAAAACTGACACCTTTATTCAAGGCATCATATTCTTAGTTTTTTCGGCAATACCGAAAAAACTAAGAATATGAATTACTGCAGTCACGAAAGCTTTAAATCAAAATTCAAGGCATCATGTTTGTAATAACCACAACACATGATGCCTTGAATAAAGGTGTCAGTTTTTGTGCCAGTTAAAAGAGTACAACCTATTACTATATCTTGTTACTGGTAAAGGAGGTCTCATAAAACATTGAGGTAGTTTATATTTTAGTTTTTTATTGGTTTACTATATGGCATTCATTATATAGCGTAGTGTATACCCAGTTGCTCTGTGTTAATAGCTCAGCTTAAAGAAGAATATACTGAGTACATTTATTATATTGATGTAATTTATACTTTGTTTTTTTTTCACATCGATTTACTGCACGATAGATGGGTTAGTTGCAGCCCCCTTTAGCGTCCACAGACTCAACAACAGCTGCACCTGCAAATCGTCTGCAAATCACGGAGTGGACGGTAGAGGGCATTCTTTACCTCAGGCTTTCTCTCAAAAGTCGCGACCTCACACTCCTAGCGGGTCCTCGTCGTCGTCCTCCTCGTCCTCGTCGTTAATTGAGCAACAAAAATAAATTTGCAGGCGTCTGCACCCCCCTCACGGATTAAAAAAAATGGCGGTGGGTGACGGGGAGGAGCCAAAACAAATTGGCGGGAAAACAAAAAAACTTCGCGTCACGTGGGAAGGGAGACGCCAAATCCGATTGGCTCCGAGGCGGAAGCGACTTTGAGGCAAAAAAATTTACATTACGAAATTACAAAACTCAACATCGACAATAAAACTCACGTTGGCATTCGCGCCGGTGTAAATAAATGTAAAAAATAAAAGTTGCATTGTTGACGTACCATATTCAAATGAAATGTTTTTGACTCGAACGCGATTCCGTTGTTTCGATTCATCCTCGTCCTGAATCGTGTCGAGCTATGATGACTAAACGCGATTCGTGGTCCGCGTTTGCTGAGCCAATAGGAGCGCAACGCTGCTGAAGGCAGCGTCCAATAGGAGAAGGCGATGGTGGGAGGTGGCCGGGTGCCGCTGGGACCAATCAGTGAGCAGGACGTTCAATGTTTCCCGCTTTTTCCGGGTTTTTTTAAATCACAAAACAATATTTATACCCCGGGGTAAAAGTTATCGAGAGCATTGTTTTAATAAGTGTGTAGTCGGAAAAGTTTGCACGTAAATTATATTTAAACAGAGGAGCAGTAACAATAATATAACTACACCAATATTATCCCAATGGTAATCGATTCCATCAGCTATAATCACTACCACCATCTCGATTCCCGCTTTATCCCCCACTCCATTGAAAATCGATTCCACGAGCTCCATTCACCAACGATCGATTCCCATGTTACTAACAACGGGAATGGACTCCATCTAAAACGTCGGAAGCCGCAACGGGAATCGACTCCATCTGAACGTCGGAAGCCGCAACGGGAATCGACTCCATGTTATTTTTTAACAATGTCTAAGAGTATTCTTAGTTTTTTCGGTAAAGTCACGTTGAAGAGAAACAACAAAATAATAAAATATATATAAAACAATAAAAAATTCTCACGACGTTTCGACCATAACTCAAAACGGTCAGTCTTCAGGTGTGTGGTTCGCATAAATGGTATTTTTAAACGGCGCATTTTATTTATTTATAAAAAACGTTAGCGTCCACGCGCAACGATTTGGCAGTTTACCAGGACTAGTCCATCTATATTCTGAAAAGAGGAGGGGGGAGACGAAATTTTTTATAATGTATGCTGTCTGAAAAGCCACTGTAGCGTGAACAATCAATTAAGAACTGAAATGGTTTATCAAATCTTTCCAATGATTGCTAAGATAGAATCCATCTTCTCGGTTGAAATTGTCTCTGTGCTTGTATATGTGGATAGCCTCATGAACGAATCTCTCATGGAAGCCAGATGGCTTACAAAGAACCTCTGTCTTGGAAAAGTCAATGGCATGTGAGCCTACTGAATTAGAACAATGATCTGCTACGGCCGAGGTGTTGGTCCTACCGTGTTTAAGGTCTGCTTTAGTGTTCACGAATGCGGTCCGAGACATGGCGTTTGGTTTCTCCAATGTAACTACTACCACAGAGGCAACTTAGTTTGTAGACACCAGGGTATTGTATGTCCGGAATCACATCTTTTACAGACGGAACCAGATCACGGATTTTATGTAATGTGTTGAAACGGACCTGGATCTTGTGTTTATTCAAGATTTTGGAGATCTTTTTTGTGATCCCAGCAATGTAGGGTAAAGTGATGGTTTTGAAAGGCTCCTCAAGAGGGTTCTTCTTCATGGTTTGAGTGATAGCTTTGCGGATTGTATAGTCGGAGTAACCATTAGCCCTAAGAGCTTGGTGTACGTGCTTGAGTTCACTGCTTATGTGTTCCTGGTCGATATGCATTGGGCTCTATGATACAGAGTCTTGATGAGAGAATTCTTCTGTGATGGATGGTGGTGGGAATCCGGTTTCAGATAAGCATCCGTATGGGTAGCTTTCCTGTAGACAGAGTGGCTCATTGAACCATCAGGTCTCTTTTTAATTAGGACATCCAAAAAAGGTATCTTGCCATCTATTTCGACTTCCATGGTAAATCTGATGGCTGGGTGTATGGAATTGATGTGGTCGAAGAATTGGTCTAGAGCAGGCCGGCCATGTGGCCAGATGACAAAAGTGTCATCCACGTACCTCTTCCATAGAGGTTGGGCGCAGAGTGGCAGTCTGGATGGCGTC